AGCGGGCTTTTCAATTCAACTCACTGCGGCCGTACACAACATGGCTAGTTACCCCTTCGAAAGAGTGCGTCCGTGTGTTGCGTTAGCAACACTATCTGTGACCACTGAGCTTGTCAAATATTTACAAAGCATGATGTGATAACTGAGGTGGTAAACTGACCATGATGTCAATATTCAACCACCTAATTTGCACAATAATAATTAAAATTGAAACCGTATTCATGCGTGGGATCTTGGTTGGAAATACAACGAAGTAACAAAAAAAACCAGCAAAGTGTAACAATAATAAACTCACAAACATTCGAATGTAAAGCAAAAAAAAATATGTGGTGGTTGGTTTAGACATTTGGCATTTTAGGATTTTTTTTTTCTTGTCGTAACCTGAAACAGATGTGGACGAATTTTTCTAGCTCAATGATTGTTTTGTCATTTTAACTTTTTTAGTATACCTGTTAGGTGTTCATCATCTGTCCTAAAGTTGATTTTATTGTATTTAATATTTTAATCATGATTTTTTTTTGTTTCTCCTTGTATAGATTACAATTGAGAAGATATTGTTTTTCGTTCTCAATTTTCTAGTTGTCACAAACTGAGCAAATTCAGTCTTCAGCTATAAGGTTATATACGATAAAGCAACAAAAATAACCAAAGTGTAACAATAATAAAATCACAAACATGTGAATGTAAAGCAAAACAAAAATATGTGGTGGTTGGTTTAGGCATTTGGCATTTTAGGATTTTTTTCTTGTCGTAACCTGAAACAGATGTGGACGAATTTTCCTAGCTCAATGATTATTTTGTCATTTTATCTTCTTAGTATATCTGTTAGGTGTTCATCGTCCGTCCTAAAGTTGATTTTATTGTATTTAATATTTTAATCATGATTTTTTTCGTTCCTCCATGTATAGATTACAATTGAGAAGTTGTTTTTCGCTCTCAATTTTCTAGTTGTCACAAACTGGGCAAATTTAGTCTTCAGCTATAAAGTTATTATATCTACCCCTTTCTATTTGAAGGGTATGAGCCTTTATTCCGAGTTTCGCCTTAGCACAGCACTATGATTTAGATTTTTGATTGT